GTAGAGCATGTTCACGTGCTAGTGTAGGTTTTACTCACAGTGCTAACGAAAAAATCAAAACAAATATTTGATCCTCTAAAAGATCACAAATAAAAAAGATGCCAACTAAAAAGTTATAAAGAGCATCGAGCTCCGTAATTTTGATAGAAAGTTTGTATTCATCCAATTTTATATGAGAAGGTTATGATTTTTTATAAGAGAAAGAGATACACCACCTAATTAACATATATGCACACTGCCACATTATAAAAACCATCCAATAAACCACTTTGAAATTGTAGGTCGTGGGAGGGGGTATTTTATCCTGTTTTGGAAAGTTAAAGTATGTATGTTGTCTGGCATCGGAGTTGGAGTTTTTTCAAATTTAGAAACTACTTGGGGGGAGTAAATGGACTTTACGTTTTGTATGGAACCAAGAACAGAGGAGAAAAAAATAAAATTATACTGTAACACCAAATGCAAAGGAAACATGATAAAAATCCAGGAGGGGAACCTTCAACTAGAAACTTTCCTCTAACTTTCAATTTGAACTAAATTCTCTAGAACCCAAAATTAAACCTTAAACACGTATTATACAAAAATAAAAACTAGATAACCATGCGGTATTTGTATAAATCAATTCATATTAATTTATAGACAGTTAGAGGAAACAATATATTTCTTGTGTTTATAGTGGACACTTGGTCGCTAAAGACAAGGGTGCGTTGTTGCAACTGGCAACATGTAACTTTGGGTGATAAGTGGTTATGTTGTGGTGGCCATATGTAGATGCAGGGTGTGATTTGGTTCTTGCATTAGCCTTTTAGCCTTGGTACTGCTATATATGATTATCATTATGATCTACTATAGCGTAAAAACATAAATCAAAACGCTAAAAGGCATAGCTGAAGATTTTGTTTTGCTTCCTATCGGATTAGGGTAATGGTGTGGGATATTTCCCATGTTTCACATAATAATATAGTTCTAATGCTTCTGCCGTGAATTTATTTATATCAACACAAATGCAGGGTTTCGTGACAGGAGTAACAAGAACAATATATTGGGTTATACCTCCATGTTAGTACTTAAAATTTTACATGTAAAATGGCTTATCCAAAACCAATTTCGTAATGCTTTATGTGGATATGTGTATCCATTAACTGTTATGGTGTGCACCAGGGTAGCCTCTTGAACCCAAAGCTTCTTGGGAAGATGTCATTGAGAGGGATCCAGATTCAGTAACTTTGTTTGAGCAAGTCACGTTGTAACTTTTCTATCATCTCCTCCCTCCATTTTACATCTCATGGCGCTAAGTGATTCCAACGAGAAAACACAGAGAGCTCAGACTTGGCATTTTCCGCCTAGGCCGGTGATGCTCGCCGACGCGCACTCTCCCTCGCGCACCACGAAGCCCCAACTCGTCGACGCAGGAAGCGGCGTCTCCTTCTTAGACACCTACCTGGGCGCTCTCGTCGGGCTCTACGTCCCTCGACGGCTCGACGCCGTCCCGCCCGTGCGACGTCGCAGGTCGCCAAGCTGCTGCACACCATTGTCTGCAAGCCCCAAGCTACACCGACAATGGTGGGTTACTAATCTGTAGGATTCGTGTTTGTCGCAGAAGGGGAGGTGACGAGGTTCACGTTCCTAAACCTGCTCGCAGCTTTCCTCTCTCCGTGGCTTCGTGCAAGCTTTCCTCTCTTCCACAGTTCCACGGCGCGGCACGAGTGGCCTATGGCAGGAACAGAGGGCGGCGGTGGCTCGACGCGAGTGTCCTGTAGCGGCACGGCGCGACGCGACGCAAATGGCCTGCAGTGGCGGGGCGGGAGGGCGGCGGCGAGGAAGGGGCCGTGTGAGGCGGGGCAGAGCCGGCTGCGGGGGTGGTGGCAGGGCAGGGTCGGCGCGCTGGGCCGCGTGCGGCTCGCGACCACGGCGGCACGCGGGGGCGGGGGGCGACGCGCGGCTGCCTGGGCCATGGCGGCTCTCGCGCGTGGCCATGGTGGGGCATCCTGCGCGGCACGCGGCTCTCTGGCTCGACCATGGCTGGCCTCCCGCTCGGTGGGGCGCGCCCGTGGTGGGCGCGGCGAGCGGCGGTAGGGAAGACCGGAGGACGCAGGACGGGGAAGCCGTTGCAGACAGTGGACGCAGTCACATAGACTGGCTGATGGAGGGGTCCCTGATGGAGAGCAGACCCGCCTCAAGATCTGCAGGGACATGCACCTCAGCACGCCCCCCGCCGGCAGTCCGCGTCCCTCTGCACGGCGCGCGGCCTGCCTCGTTCTCCATCAGCAGCAGCCCGGCGTCTTGGTTGCTGAAGGCTGCTTGTCTTCTTCTCTGGCAACAACCCGACGTCCTTGCTAAAGTGGTCGTCCTCATCTTCTCCACGGTGTCCTGGCCCTCCTCCTTTCTCCGACACCGACCCGACGTATGGGCAGTGCGGTTGCCGCGGTGCGCCGGTGCAGCTACGGGAGAGCAGAGTCCGCACGCGGCACGCCGCTATCTCTCGCTGAAAATACCAAGTCTGTGTATTTTGCTGGGAGTCTTCAAGAGCCGTTGGATCTGCTTTGGACGTCGGATGTGAACGGGTAAGTTACGACGTGACTTGCAGGAGCAAAGTCACCGAATCTATGTCCCATTGAGAGCGATCTCCTGCTTTTCATTTTTGTGTCATTTTTATCTCAAAGAAAAATTGCAGCCAGAATAAGCGAACACGTATTGTTCTAATGATTGTGTATATTAAGCACTACCGGATACAAGAGCTTTGTCGAATGTCAGGGACACTCGGCGAAGCCCAAAAACACTCGGAAAAGGGTTTGCAGAGTGTTACACTCGGCAAACGACGCTCGGTAAACGTTTTATTGACAAACGCTAGTTTGCCGAGTGTTTTTTGTCGCGCACTCGACAAAAACGTTGTCGAGTGCCAAAAAAACACTTGGCAAACTTTTTTTCGAAAAAAATAAAAAAAACAAGCCGATCACCGCCACCGCCAGCCGCCGCCACCCTTGCCTCCCGCCGCCACGCCACGAAGCCCGCAGCCACCAGGACAAGCCAGGACCACCACCACGCCGGTACCGCCGAGGAAGAAGGCCCCACCCCGCGCACCGCCGCCGCCGGGGTTGCATGATCCACCACCGGATCAACCGCTCCTCCCTCCGCCATCGCTGGAGGTGGACGGGGCAGATCCACTGCGCCTCGATCCGCCGCCACCGCGACCCGATCCGCCCCAGCCGCGTCTCGATCCGCTGCCACCGCGACCCAATCCGCCCCCGGCGCGACTAGATCTGCCACCGCGGAAGCCCGATCTGCCCCCGTCGTGACCGGATCCGCCGCCAAGGGGCCGTCGTGACCCAGTCCATGCTCAGTGGCGGGGAAGAAGGGGGAGGGGCGTCGGATCTGCCAGTTGTGGAGGTGTTCTCGCCGGTGGTGGAGGAAGGCCATATCCGCGCTCGGGGAGAGGGAGAGCGCCGCCGCCTGTAGGGGAGAGGGAGAGGGAGGGCCGCCACCACCCGTGGGGGAGATGAAGAGGAGAGAGGCGCCGCCGCCACCTCGCGCTCGACTGGCTCGCGCAGCTCCGGCGAGCTCACCACCACCACCACGCCTCCCGTGGACGCCACACCACCACCAGCACCACGCCGCCACCCGGAGAGAGAGGGGGAGCGGCGGCGGCTGGATCCGGGGAGGAGGAGGAGGGGAGGGGCGGCGCCCGGATCCGGAGAGGGAGAGAGGGCGCGGGCTGACGGATTTGGGGAGGAGGCAGGGAAGGAGGGAGGGAGGGAGGGGCCGCACCGAGTGGGGGAGGGGGCCTTGGGAGAGGGGGGGAGGAGAGAGGCACAGGAGAGAGGGCGCAAGGGGAAGAAGAAGCGGGAGGGGAGGGGCGCGGGCCGGTTAATTAAGCAGGTTTTTTTCTTTTGCCGAGTGTCTTAGATCTGGACACTCGGCAAAGTTTTTATTTATTTTTTTCTTCTCCTTCTTTCCTAGAAAAAAGATTTTATTTCTTTGCCAAGTGTCCTAGATCTGAGCACTCGGCAAAGTTTTTTTTTCATTTTTTTTCTTCTCCTTTCCTAGAAAAAAGATTTTATTTCTTTGCCGAGTGTAAAAAAAACACTTGGCAAACCCCCTCCTTGCCGAATGTTTTTTTACACTCGACGAACCTTCTTTTTGCCGAGTGTTTTTTTTTTGCCGAGTGGTTTTAGCACAGCACTCGACTAAGAACTTGTTTGCCGAGTGTATTGGCTCGAGAGAATACACTCGACAAACATAAAACACTTGGCAAATTTGATGTTTCCGGTAGCGAAGTCAGCATGGATCCTTTTGCAGTTCAATTCTTTCAGCATAGTCTACTTTCTCTTCTCTTGGTAATAAAATCTGTCAGGAATAAAAAAGGAAGTGGAGAAAAAGGCATTCAAACAACAAACATTACGTTTCATATGGGTTCTTGAAATACCTGATTATTTGAATAAAATGATGAACAAGCATTAAAAAATGCTCTATTTATTTTTGGAGAAAACTATTATTCCTCCCAAAGCAGTGGCCACTTCATTTTGACTGGACACAAAAAGTGTAAGTGACATCTGAAACCCTATTACGTCTACAATTCTACATGCCATATAAATGCTAAATGCAAAATCACTGAACAGCCACTTATCTATGGTTGCCGATGCATAAAAATCTAACTCCCAGTTCGTCCTAGTCCTAGTAGACTACGGCAAATTAGGAGTGGCACGCTTGAAAACAAAATGAGAGCAACTCAAACAAACAAGGCAAAGGAATCCCCAGCTGATATCATACAGAATCACAACATCACCGCACGCAGTTATCTGATTCTGATTGAATTCCAGTTCACAAATAAGGTAGCATTTCATCAGCAAAGTAAAAAGAACAGCAACAGAACTACGAAGTGTCTAAAATTCAAAACTCCAAGATAAAACCCATTGATCTAGATAGCACACATGACGACCGATATAAAGCAACAACACAAGGCTAAAACCCTGCATTGCGGAGCAAGCGCAACGATCGATCGAACTCTACAGCCTCAGTGACAGATCAAGCTGCGGTGCGGTGTGGCTGGCGGCGGCGCCGTACGGGGAGGAGAAGGGCGCCGTGAGCTCCGACTCGTTGGGGTTGGGGACGGAGATTCGGCCACTCTTGCCAGTGTGGTACGCGCTTGCCGCCGGGAAGAACTCGATCTCCCTCACATCCTTCTTCGCCGGCGCCTCGGCCTCCGCCGGTCCTTGCTTCCTCTCCCGCGCCAAGAACGCGTCTCCCTGCGCAGTGCGTGCATCGCAGCATTTGTGACTTCAATTTGATCGAGTAAAGCTAGCTTCATAGACAAAGAGGATATTTTGAACGTGTGCACGAGCAGATGAGGGGACACGACGAGCACTCTTGCCAAGTACCTGGCGAGCGGTGGCCATGGCTGTGGCAAGATTGTAGATGGAGTAGTCTGGAGGCGTCGGTGCCAGTGGTCCTCCATTCTCTGTCAAGGCTCTGATCCTCTTTGAAGCGTCAAGAAATGCAGATGCAATAGCAACAAGGGAGACAAGATTAGTACGTACTACTTGTCAAGAACACGATCATGTAGATCAGTAGATGTAGTAGGGAATTGAGAAAGGTTGGTGGCTTTACCCTGGAGCAGATGTCGCAGCGGTGGCCGGTGTGGAGGCAGGAGGAGGAGGACACAGCAGGACGCCAGATAGTGCTTTGGCTTGAAGGGTGCTCTGGTGCCAGTGTCGCCGGCAGCAGCTGGGACTGGGACGGGGACTGGTGGTCAGCGCCACCGCCCGCCATGGAGAAGCCTCCCATGCGGCTCCACCGGTCCCTGAAGTACTGCTGCTCCGGCGCCACGGGCGGGTGGAGGACGCAGACTGGGCCCGGTGGCGGCGCCGGGGCCAGCAGCTGCGAGCAGTAGCGCGCGCCTGCGGCGGCTCCGAACGCGGAGGCCGGCATCTGCAGGTCGTGGCGGTGGTGATGACAGTGGAGCAGCGGGTGGCCCTGCCCCTGCGCGCCGGCAGCAGCGTCCCCGACGAAGGCGGAGAGCTCGAGCAGCGGGTCGCCCCCGCAACGGAGCCGCTCGAGCTCCGCCACGCCGAGACCGCGCTGCGGCGGCTTCTTGACCCCGACGACACCACTGCCCGCCTCCTGCTGCTGCTGCTTCTTCTTGCCGGACCCGGAGGAGTCCCGGCGCAGACGCGGCCGCGCCACCGCCGGGGCGCCGAGCTCCGGCGGGACCAGCGCCGAGTCCGCCGCCGTCTCCAGAGCGCTCGACTTGAAGATGCCGACGCCGGAGTCGAAGGCCGCGAGGGAGGTGGCGTGCGTGTCCCCCCCGAGGAGGTAGGGCTTGGTCGCCATGGGAGCTAGGAGGAAACCAAGGAGTGCTACTAGTTGTTTCTTGCGAGCGCGGCGGCTGTTGCAATGCCAGGACGCAGTTTGTGTCTCCTCTTGGGGGTGCTGCTGCTGCTTTACAGCGAGAGGAAGAAGGGGGAAGGCACGTGATGATATTGCCCTCGGCCAGTGCCGGCCCTGCACGGGGTGCGATGGCCTAGGGCCCACGGTAAGGGACAGCCCAGGACCCCACGTATACAGGCCCTCAGTACTGTAGGCATTTTAGCCTTTAGGTATACTACGCGTAACGTGTTTATGCGAATGCTCGCCCGACGCCTAGGACCCTACGTGAACGGCCGAACGCTCGCACCGCCGAAGGGTGAATGCGAATCGCCGACGACGGCAAGTCGACGATCTAGGTTTTTTTTCCTTGATCGTTTTTTAATCTAAATTAATTGTTTCGGACTTCTAGTACTCGATATTCATATAGTCGTGTTTTTCTTCTAATTTAGGTGTTCGAAACTTAGAATGTTACATAAGAAACATTTGTCGGGGTCTCATAAAAGAAAACGAAAAAGAGTAGAAGATCGATTTATTGAATCTCAAAAAGATGCTATACATAAGTTTTTTTCAGCTTCAAGCAGTGTTGTGACTGATGATAATCCTGTAGATGCACTTGATATTGAAGAACAAGGGCAGCAACAGCAACAAGTTAATAATAATTTAACTAAACAAGTTGATGACATTGATGATGCTACAGAGAATGAAAATTTACAGCCTTCCTCTCAACCTGAAAATTTAATTGATGATGTGCAAGAAGCTTCTATTTTTTATGAGAAGCAACGGATATTATGGAGTTCTATTCTTCCTTAAGGTAATCATATTAGTTTTAGCCTATATTGTTCCTCAATAATTATCAAACATGTTAAATTAAAAATATATCACTAGATTTGTTTTCGCTTTACAAAAAAAAATTAGCGCTTATTTATATTATAAGATTTATATATAGTCTAGAGGGGCCGTTACGATGAGTTCACCAGAGGGCCCTCAAAATATTAGAACCGGCACTGCACTCGGCCGTGTAGCGTACTAGTCCAGCAGAGGAGTTATTTACATGCACTCTCGGTGTACTGATAATTCAATCAGGGCATGTTTAGTTCCCAAAAAATTTTATGCAGTACCCATCACATCGAATCTTGCGGCACATGCATAGAGTACTAAATGTAGACGAAAAAAAAACTAATTACACAGTTGGGTGAGAAATCACGAGACGAAATTTCGAATCTAATTAGTCCATAATTAGACACTAATTGCCAAATACAAACGAAATTGCTACAGTAGCCAAAACCAAAAAAAATTTGCATCTAAACGCGCCCTCCCACGGGCAATGCCAGGACGTAGTTTGACTTCTTATTTTTATAAAAATATTTATTAAAAAATGTTATATGTATATTTATATGATAATATTTTTCAAGACAAATCTATTCATATGATTTTCACGTTTTGAAACCCAATAACTTAAAAGTTATTCATATTTTATATTCCCAATGTTTGATCAAAGCCTTGGCCAAAACTACTTAAATTACAGGTATAAAGGGAGTATATAATGGGATTTAATTTGACTGTATTGCAGGGTGTATACTCCTAAAAAAAAGAAAATAAAATCATCTAGGTTTTCTGCAGGTCAAAACTTCTTAAGTACGATTAGATTTATAAAAATTATTAGTAACATTTGTATCTCCAAATAAGATATTATAAAATATATTTAATGATTAGTCTAACAATATTTACTATGTACCTCAAATATTAATAATCTCTTGTTGTCGGTGCGAAATGTGACCAACAAGTAAATATTTGTAGTTTTGTCGTGTGCTGTGATCGGATGTGGCTTAGCATGTGATGACACAGGATTTATACTGATTCAGGCAACGTGACCTACATCTAGTTTCAGTCGATCGGTGACTTTATTCCTGAGCCCAGGTACTTGAAGTTTGTTGTGGGGTTACAAATGAGTAAGGAATAGGACGGGGGTCTTAGAGGCCCTATCGGACTCTGAACCGAGTGGAAGAGAGTGACGGATGCTTAAACATGCGCTAAGTATTGGAGCGTATGCTCTATGTGTCCGAGCTTATCAGCTGTTGAGAACGTAAAGACTGTGTAGCTATCGAGCTATAGAGCTGTTGAGTTGTTTTGCCATCGTCCTTTTAGAAAAGAGTGCATCCCTTTTTATAAATGAAGGGGTAGCCTTACAAGTCATAGACGGAAAGGGAGAGAATGTGTATGTGTGCTACCTATTCTTGTTGCCCACGTCGTCGGGTACGGCACGCCATCGCCCACCTTACTATTCATGACATGCTGTATCTGACAGGCTGCACAGTGTTCGCCCACCTTATTGTTCATAGCCTGACAGGCTGCACGGTGTTCGCCAGGGACAGCAAACGACGGCGCCCACAATATTGTTTGTGTTCTAACGTGTCTAGAAGGTTGTATGGTGTCCATCTGACATGGCCTGACGGCACCATCCTATAGGTGCGCAGGGCATGGCAGGATACGGTCCTCAATATTGCGGTTGACTTGAGCGCCTTACCTTATCTGCTTCACCTGCTCCCCGAGCCCACACCGAGCAGGCATCCTGGTCGGTCGTCCCAGTCGGACCCGACCGTTTCGGTCGGGAAAGAGAGGTGAGAAAAGGTCCGATATATCCCCGGTCGGAGGAACAGGGTAGGAGTCGGACTGTGGTCCCACCACAGCCAGGCCTTTCGGTTGGAGCTTCGACCAGATCTCTTGGCCGGAGGTACCAGTCGGGGACCGGATCGTGGTCTTGGCCTATCATTGTGTATCTAGGTTGGCCTAGACGCACGTTGTCGCTGCACTGCCTGTTGGACCAAGTATTGCAATGAAGCGGGTCCATTGGAGACCCCGGGTTTATGAACCCGACATGAGCCCCCGAGCCCCTTTGAGGCTTCTGTGGAGCCATAAAGGGGCTGTTGAGTTGCTGTTTTTGAGAGCGCATGAGAGTACGATGCTAGAAGATCTCTCGTAAGGAGAGAACATCGTACGTCTTGAGTGGCCCCTATCCTTGATTCTAGATCAGAGTACGGAGAGAGGGAGGAGAGCATTATAGCGGGAGAATAAGGATCTTGGCTCCCTTGTTCTGCTTCATGCCCCAAGGTGCGGAGCAGCCCCGGGGCTGTTCACACACGCTTTGCATGTTATTGTAAAAGCCTGGGGCTTGTGTTTTTAGCTTAATGAAAGCTTGTATTTTCTTTGTGATTCCTATGCCCATTGCGCCATAGGGGTGGGTTGTTTATTGGAACTTCGGTGTTTTCTGTCTTGGTTTGTTGTACCGCGTAGGGTAACCAAGTAGGATTTAGGCGCCCAACCTCTATGGGAAGGACTGGCGAAGGTCGTGGAGGCGCACCGAGGGGATATTGGCTCCCAACCCTTGATGGGGGGACTGGCAAAGGCCGCAGAGGCGCGCCGCGTAGACATAGGCGCCCAGCCCCCAAAGGGGGGGAACTCGTCGGTAGTTCGTCTTCTACCAGGTGCGCGCAAGCGCATCCGGTGGGTGTAGCCCCCGAGCCTACGATCGACTGGTGAGTCGGTCGGAGGGTGAGTCGGTCGGAGGACTCTTCCTGGGGCCGTAGACTCCTATGTTCCTACCGGTCGGTTTGTTCGCCCGTGTTCGTCCCGCCCGTGACCTGTGCGGTCAGTTAGATTCCCGAATCAGGGTCGGGAGGCCCGAGCCCCCGAGCCCCATTGGGCTCGGTAGGGGTCGGTCGAGTTTCATGCGTCACCCTATCCGTGGTTTCCGCAACCAGAGGGGTTGAGCTAACATCATTTGCCATGATGGCTCGAGTGACGCGCTCGATGAGCTCACTAACGGGCATGTCCGAGTGGAATCCGGGTCCGTCATTCATAACGGGGTCGGCATAGCCCTCATGTGGCATTCCATTGCTCCTTAACCCACCTTTCGATAGATGCCCGAGCCATTCTGGAGACCAACTCAGGTGGCCCGTTGGTCTCCCCTCGATGGAGCTTCTGTGGCCATGGCTCGAGGTCAGGATCAAACGAGAAGGTTGAGATGACGCTGTCAGCTCTTGAGCGGGTCAGGCGAGGGCCGCTGGGGCTCATCTATGTTTTCTCCCCTGGCTCTGTTTGACGCGAGGTGACCTCGATCCCATCGCGGGCCAGCCTTTGAACCCCGGTTGGTCATAGCTCAAATTGAATGAGATGACTACCGCTTAGTGGCACGACGCGATGCGTTGTGATGCAACAATTGCATATGCAATGCTTAGATGTATGGGATGAATGTATGACTGAAGGTATGAATGCATGCATGAGAATGGATGAATAAATGTTCATGTACTGGAAAAGTAAAACGTGGGTTGGTAAAGTTGCCTTGATGGCTGGAGTGACGGGTTCGGGGAGCTCCTATCGGATATGTCCGAGTGGAATCCGGGTCCGTCGTTCATGACGGAGTCATAACCCGCATGGGGCATCCCACTGCTCCTTACCTATCTCTCGGCAGCCACTCGAGCCATCTGATCGACTCAGGTGACCCGCTGGGCTCTCCTCGATGGAGATTCCATCGGTGGGCCCTTCCAAACCCTGCCTGGGAAGGCGGGGGGTCATTTCCCATACCCAGGTTGTGGTAGTGGTGGGCCCCACCCAGGCCATGTCCTGTTAGTCAGGCGACTTCCCATCGGGTAGGCCGCGTCCTGTCAGCCAAGGCCACGTCCCGCCTCACGCCTTTCCACATTAAATAGGGGGAAGGGAGAGGGTTTTCCTCCCGTTCTTTTGCCTTTCTTAAACCGCTGTTGTTTCTCCTTCCTTTCTTTTGCCAAGCCTGTTCATGTGCCACGGTGGTTTCTAGGAGAGTGGAGGGCGGAGCGAGGGAGAGGAAAAACTCATAGATTTGTTCGTAAATCCGATGTGCGATGTCGAACTGGAGGCCTTCCAACGTGGATGAGGAGGTGCTAGCCACCTTCGCTGAGAAGGGGCTGCTCCCATCGAAGGAAGTGGCA